TAGAGTTACTGGAAAATACAATAATGCTAGGAAAAGTTAAAAACAGCAGGAAAAGAGGAAGACCCAACTTGGGATGGATTTCCTCAGTCAAGGAAGTCACCGCCCTCAGGTTGCAAAACCTGAGCAATGCTGTTCACAATAGAACATTTTGGAGGTAATTAATTCATAGGGTCACCGTAAGTTGAGAACAACTTAATGGTACTTAATACACACATACATGTGTCTAATTCTCAACATGGTCACACCTGTGGATCCTTAAAGCTGGAGACAGGAGTCATGAACAGACACGACAGGTTTTTCTACAAACCTAAGAAAAGCTCCAGGTTTGTGGAAAATCTGAAATCTAAAACGCAAAAGAAACCCTTGGGGGTTCAGCCCTTCCAGTAATAGAAACAATGCCGGTGGTATCTCTAAGAAACAAATGCCCTCTGTGGCTGTTGCTAGGCAACCACAACAGTATTGCCAGTGGAAGACTTGGTTTCGGCTGTTTTGGCCTTTGAGGGAAGACTTGTCAGGGCCAGGACCATCAGCAACTTAATACCACACAAGTTACATGACTTATCCAGGCTCAGCTGCTTGCTACTGTTCAGCAGCAGCCAACACATGAAAGCCAGCATGGATCTGGAGGATATGAAAAAAAGAGGAAACAGTGTCCCGCACAAGTCCTTGTGATTTCCCCACTGTGCAACTGGACCTGGCCTGATGGCTGGCACTGCACACCTTGGCCAGACTTTTCACAGCTAAAGGCTGCCAGGGGTAGAGAAGGAGTGTAGCTAGCCTCCTCAGCCCTGAACCTGGGGTGGTCTTTCCCAAGAGAGAGACACCCCAAAATGACCTCTGAACCTCCACAAGCAGTGCCCTCATAAAGCCAGGCTTGGCTTAAACAGTGGCTTTTGCTGGGAGGCTAGGAGAACCACATCTTGGCTGGGAAATCTCAGGCCAAGTGAAGACTCTCCAGGCTGGCTGCACTGCCAAACTGCCTCCATGCAAGCAACCCCCCCCACACACACACACATCTCTCCTGTCAGCTCAATCCAAAAGGACTAAAAATGGGCAAGTCTCTGCTCTTGCTTCAGGCATCTTCTACTGACCAAATGGCTAGTCTTTTGTCTGACAAATGTACAGGCAGGCAGGGGAAAAGAGCCTCTGATCTGTGCTAATTGTCATAAATGAAGTACATTGCATGTTTCTAGACACAGTTTCTGTTTCACTTGTATATCAGGAGATACCTTAGGGATAATCCTCTAATTCCTGTTTCCATATATTTGTCTAAGATAGTAGGCGACACACCCCTGATGTAGCCAATCCTCCAAGAGCTTATAGAGCTCTTCTTACAGGGGCTCCTGTAAGCTTCTTGGAGGATTGGCTACATTAGGGGTGTGTCGCCTAATATGCAAAGGAGTTCCTGCTACAAAAAGAGCCCTGCGGCCCTATGCCAGACCTATCAAGGTAAACATTAACTCTTCATGTCTAGTGAATGGTCTCCCATTCAGGTTCATCCTGCCATACAATAAGAAACATCACCTCTTTTTTCTGGCACCAGGGAAACAGCAGACCACTCTACTGTTCCACAATGGACACTCCCAGCCCAACCGTCCAGCAACTGGCTTAATCTCATCAAGGCTATTGTGTAGCCAGACTGCCCCTCTGGAAGCTTATTGGTCACACTTGAATTACACTCCACCTGGTACCACACCTCTATGGACTCCTTATCAGTCTAGAAAATCTATTGTTCTCACCTGAGACCAGTCCCCAAGGCTTTCCATTGGTCTGCATTGTTTTCCAGTGTCTATATCCATTAGAGTACATGGCCTCAGATTGTGTATCTGCCCCAACTGGCAGTTCACCCCTAAACCTTGGGATTGGACCATCTCCATGGATCCCTGTATGTCTGGACAGATTGAATCACCCTGTAACTGACCCCTCTATTTGCTATCAATCACCTCTGCTTTCTTAGTTCTATATTGTTTGCTCTTTTTGAATGTTTTGTGTGCTTGTAATTAGGGAAATCCTTCAATAAAAACTATTTAATTTACTCTTCAAATCTGGAGTTTTCCTACTGTGCTGGATCTTGGTATATAAGTGGTTTGCGATTCCTGTACCCCTCTGGCCTATCCTGCCACATAGCTAACTTCTCCAAACAACAAGGCAGGCCATTGGCAGTAACAGGAGGGAAAGCTGATAAAGTTAGGTTGATGGGAATGGGAAGGAGAAGAGGAGGCAAGAAAATGTGGGACCGTATCAGGCTTTCCAGGGAAAGGAAAGAGGAAATAGTGGGGAAGGGGAAAATTAGGTGCCCCTGCAAGTGCTAGTGAGTTGAGCATGCTGGTGGAGACCAGTGGAGACTGAATCTTTGTATGATGGGAGTGTAGCACTGAAATCACCTTACTGGTACACCTGATCCCCAAAGTGAGATCGGTCTGGTAGAATCATAACCATTTTGTGATATATGTAAATAGTCTTTTAAATACAAGCATAGCACAATCTCCAGTCTCCATTGTTTTCCATTAGGCCGTTGTGGGTGTCCCTTCAGCCCTGCTGAAATAAATAGAAATTACCTAGGAGATATGTTGAGTATCTACCTCTGCTTTGGGCCTTTGAGCACCTTCACCTTCCAGCTGATTAACTGTTCTGTGCAGATCACTGACTGCTTTGGGTCATGTGCTTTAGACTGTTTTCGCTGGAGTGATTGGTGTCACATTTGGCAGCTGCAGCTACAAAAGAGTGAGGAAGAATCAGTACAATTTCTAAACAATAATAGGTTAAGTTGTCTTTTGTTTGCTTTTTTAAAATAGTAGATGACCTACAATAGTTTATTTCATGGTACTAGAAACAAATACTAGGGTGTTTTTTTTTGTATGATGGGGCAAAAAATTCATGTGTGTTGATAAGAACTGCAAATTTTGGTAGCAACCATTCCCATTAGACAGTACTTCAGCATTTTAGTAGTTGATATCACCTCCACAAGCTCATGTCCCCTTTTCCCTGTTCATTCATGGTACCTGCTTGTGCATGGGGCAGTAGCACCCCATTAGACAGTACTTCAGCATTTCAGTAGTTGGTATCACCTCCACAAGCTCATGTTCTTCTTCATCCTGGTCACATTGAGTCCCCTTTTCCCTGTTCATTCGTGGTACCTGCTTGTGCATGGGGCAGTAGCAGCCACCCCAAGCACTGATAATGTAGTAGAAGCTGAGACATCTTTGAGAGGTCAGATGGATCCCCATCTGTGCCAAGCCAATCAACATAATGTTTCTTTCTTTCCTTTCTGCTGTTAAGGTGGGTTGGAAGAAGTAGCTCTGCGGTCTCACTGGCTTCAGAGATTACCAGAATAAAATGAATAGCCAGGAGAAGTAACAGTGTTTGTGGTTAGATTTTTTGAAAAATGTATATGCTTATGATTTCATCCTAACTTTCTTCCAAAGAGCCAAGAGTTTTGTACATGGTGCCCCATTTGTACCCTCACAACCAGCCCTTTGAGGTATGTTAGGCTGACAGGGATTTACTAGCCTAAGCTAACCTCAGGAGCGTAATGGTAGAGTGGGAATTTTCCCACCTACATCTCCCTGCTCTAAGCCCAGTATTCGAATAATTTCATCTGATCTGTAAGTAATAACATTTGGAAATGGGCAGGTTCTTGGAGATGTCTAAAGATGCTAGAATATCAACTGTTTTCTGTAAAAATCGGGTTATTTCGTTAGTGCCAATCAGGATAGATTTCAAGCAGGGTAATTTCAAACATTAATAGATTTTGGTGATATTATTGTGGGGTTTTCCTTATTGTAGTCTATGTATGTGATCATTTTGCTGTTCATCATAGTCATTGTTTGCTTAAGATCTTATGAACTATGATAAAAGGATGGCGGCCTGTTAGAAGAGAACTTAGGGATCTGATCTGATATTAACCACAGTTTAATGAATTACAAATATGGATAGATGGGAGCTGCTGCTGGTAACATGTTATGTTTTGTTGAAATAACTTTAAGAGGGCTCAGTGACTTAGAAGATTAAAACAAACTATTGGCTGAAATAAGCTGGGATCTTGGCTCAGAGCCAGCATGATGTCCCAAACAGAGGCATCACAAAACCACTGCAGATCAACCCAGATTTCCATGAGTGACTTATAAGAGTCCTTGAGCTAAGCCAACATAGGGATTGAATTAGCTCCCACATTTGCAAAGGCTTCTTTGTACCCGTGAGCTTCTGTAATAAAGTTCACCTAATTGTTGATTTAAATGTGTGTACTCAGTGTAGGAAAAGAAGTTTCAGGTACTCTAAAGATTTAGAACACTTGAGCTTCTGAAAAGCACAACTAACCTTTCCAAAGCAAAAAAATATATATATAAAAACTGAAAAGGTGTATTGTCAGCACTGTAACAGTAGCCAAAGTCTTGTCAATCTTCCCAGTGTCAGTAATTATTTTCAGTTTGACTCTTTGATTGCCAGGGGGCTGAAATTTATCCTTTATGTTCTAAATACAGTTTACTTACTACTTCTTGAATCCCCCCTATCCTTTAGACATAGAATGCTTAACAGTGTTTTAAAGGCAAAATATTGTATAAAATATTCTTATATATATATAAGTGTCTGGGAGGCAGACACTTGAGCTAAACCAATTAATGGCAATAATTCCATCTTTATCTCTTTTTTTCCTTTGTTGGAAGAAAGGGAATCAAATAGAACTGTGCTTGCCCAGTCTCTGTTTTGAGATGAAACCTGATAAGCTGTGTCTCATATATCTGTGCCTTCCTGGAGTTCTTGCAATGTGAAAAGAGGCAGCTTGAAAATGAATTCAAGTGAACTGAGCTACTTCTATGGTACAAACGGTGGCAATACATCAGATGCTCATCTTCCAGACTCTCTTGTGTGTTGACATTATACCAGTAAATGTTTTATTAAAATTGCTGTAGTCTGGAATTCTCATTTTTGTGCGGTTTCTGTGTCACAGTAATCCAATATTGCTAAATTGTTGGTTTCTTTTTTTGTTCCCTAACTTGTAGCATGACGTGTCACAGACCTTGCTCAAAGCAACCCTGGACAGCGTGGTGGAGGAGTGTGTCAGCTTTGTAGGAGTTGATATTAACATCTGTTCAGAAATTTTATTAAGGTGAGTTTGGACTGTTCTCCTGTTCTCCGTGGTCCCGGTAGTGGGTGAGTCCTTGATCCATTATGCCTTGGATTAGCCCCTCCCCTCCACCTGCAGGGCTGGCAAACTTTGATCCTGGAGGGGAGGGGCTTGTCCTCTGGATCTCCAGTCTTACCAGCCCTGCCTCTGAAGCAGGACGTCTGGCTGTGCTCTTGGAAGCACGAAGATTCTGAAAAAAAGGCAAGGAGGAGAAGAAAGAAAATGAGTGATTAGGGAGGTGGGGAAGGTTTTTTTCTGCCTCCCCACCCCTCCCAGACCCGTCCCTAGGGATGAGGAGAGTGGCTGTTGGCAGCTAGAAGGGGGCTTCCAAGCAGACGCGGCAGCTGGGAACTGGCCTCTGTCTTCGCGCGTGCCACTGAGCCGCAGAAAGCGTCCCTCCCCCCCTTTTTCTTTGGAAGCTGGGGAGGAGAGAGAGAGAGAGAAAGAGTTGCGGAGGCCAGGAAGTGCACGGGTGGCATGGCTGTGTGCAGCGTGATCCCGCACAGTGTTTGAGCAGAGTTTTTCGCCCGCGGGGACTGGGCTGGGCGTTGTGACTCTGCATAAAGGAACAAAACGTCTCATCCTGCCTTAACTGAATCACAGTAGGGGGATGCTTTTGGTGGGGCGGGAGCCGGGCTGTGCTGGTCGGATCCTGTGGACTGGCCTGGCTACTTATTGTGAGTGGAGGCTCCCAGACCCCCCCCCTTTGTTTTCCCCCCTTTCCCAACGAATCTGCAGTAGCGTTGGCCTTTTTTTGGGGGGGGAGAAGTTATTCCCTCATTGGGATTTTTTTTGGGGGGGGGACATTTAGGATAGGCAGAGTTGGCCTGAATAGTGCTGTGGCACATTATTTTTAAAAAGTCTATCTTGTAACCAGAAGGTTGTAAGATTAGATCTCAGCGGGAGTTCTGATTTTTTAAGCACACTCTCCTTTTTCCTTCTTTTGGAGTTTTCACGGGGGAAGCTAAAAAAGGCTGGAATGGCGGCCATTTTACTTCAATGGAGTGATAGGGTGTTACTTTCACTTTTAGGTTCACTCAAAATGGCGGATAAAGCTGGCCCTTCAAGCTCCTTGCCATTAGATGCCATTGAAGTCACTCAAGCTTCAAATAAGGAGCCCTTGGGTCTGATCAAGGGAGGAGGCTCAATCTAACCTTCGGTCATGGTTGAAGGAGGAGTTAAAGAAGGAGTTTAGAGGTTTGTGTCAGCAGGCCTCCACCTCGCAGGTCAAAAGGGGCAAGCGACGTAGGAGCACTTCTCTAGACAGCACCCCTTCTACAAAGAAGGTTCCCTCAGAGGAGGGGGATCATAGTCCTTTATTTAGTGACATGGGAGACGAATCAGGTTCTGATTCACCTATATCAGACAAGAAGGAGGGAGAACGGTCCGAGGAAGGGGACGAAGCACTTCCTCTTAGCCAGTCCAGACTTTTTCCTCAAGAACTGTATAATAGGATGTTGCCAAAGGTGTTACGGGCTTTGGAGCTTTCATATACTCCTAAGACAAAGGAAGACACAGAGGCTGCAGATTTTCCAGTTGGGTCTGACAAGGCCATTCCTAAACCTAATGCCAAGTCAGCGAGCATTCCTCTACCAGCGGCCTTTATAACACTATCATGGCTGAATGGGAACACCCTGCTAACCCCAAGGCTAATAACCCTTTGATTGCAAAATTGTACTCTCTTATTCCAGAAGCGACAAAAAAGCTAAAACTCCCAGCGGTTGATGACGCAATCAACTCACTATCGTCGTCTTCTATTCTTCCTATGGATGCGGAAGGCTTGCCCAAGGGACTTCCGGGCAACGTCGCGGCGATGCGAGTGTCTGGCCAGGACACTCCTGGCCAGCCCTGACCCTTGTCTCTTCTTTTGAAGCCCTCTGGGTCCTAATGACTGCCAGGGGCCTCGCCTGACTTCCTGAAGGGAGGTTGGGGTGCAGAAGCTGGATCGGTGGTGAAGGGGACAAGACCGACCTGTTCCAAGGCAAATAGTGAAGAAGGGAGCAGCATGGTCCGCCACGCTGTGCAAGCTGTAATGCCCGTTTTAATCTTGTTTTGTTTTCAAGAAGCAGCAAATACAAGAGAGCGAATATGTATTTGTTTGTTCACTAATTGCCGAAGACCTGATTAAAAGTCCCCCTTAAAGGCTATCTCCATCTCGAGAATGTATGAGTGGCTGTGAAAAGGAGTGGAGCAAAGGCTCGGAAAATGGTGACGGCAGGGGAGATTGACGATATTCCAGCAAAAACTAACTCGGGATCAGTTTAAGTAATTTTTGATCAACCAGGTGAGGAAGGCTGCAGAGGAAGCATGCAGAAATATTTGCAAGAAATTTCAAGACGTTGATCTGAAATCACAAATCAAGGAAAATAGGAAAGAGCCAACGCCCTACCTGCGAATTGCGAACTGCGGTGAGTTTGGAAACGGACCGGGAAGACAAGCAAAAGAAGGAAATAACTGAATTAAACTTTACACCGTTGAAAAAGAAGAAAGATGTTTCCACGAAAGAAAAAGAAAGAACTGTATAAAACAATTTGAGAGTGCAGGCTACATAAAATGTAAGAAGCGATCAGAACCGCAGTGAGAAGAAATTACCTAGGAAAAAACGAGGTTTCTACCAAAGCAAAGCAACAAAGATAACAAAATAATGTGGACAGGAAAGTTAAACCAGAAGAGGCAGAAATACGAATGGAAATATTCAGAGTTAAGAGGTTTGAGACATTTAATTATGGTCATTGAGAAGAAATCTTTTCAGAAAACAGCATTTAGTGACATGGGAGAAGAATCAGCGTTGCAATATGTATTATCCTATAGGTTAACTATCGCTATTTTCTTAAAATATGTAATGCTCAGTGGCTCAATGGCTCATGGTTTGATAGTGATGCTTTGCCTATGTACCTGAACAGCTCAAATATTTGGGGTTAATATCCTTTTGATACTTTAATTGCTTAAATATTTAGACTGTGTGAGTAGTAACTTGACTATTTTTTTTGGTTTACTCAAGTAAAATACATGGGTTATTCCTGGGCTATATTTAAGGGTCAGTGATACTGGAAATGTTAGGACGTATTCATGATTTTGTTTTGCTAGATAAATTTTTAGGGTATAAGGCCGCCCCCTCCCCCCAAAAAATGTGTGAGTGCAAACTGTAAAATTACAGTGTAGTAAACAAGGTATTTATCTGATGAGTAGTCCCTAAAAGGTACATAAAATGTCAAGGAGGAAAGGAATGAGAATGAAAATGGAGTGTTATTTTGAAAATACAATATAGTATGTTTAAAACTTTGATTACTGGAATGGAAGGATACGACGAAGTTGTTTGGCTTAATTATCTAGAAAGTATGAGTTTTTAGGCAAAGGTTTCTATTATTTCCATTTTCACCTTTTTTATTTTTTTCCCTTTTTTATTTTGTCTTTTTGCACTTATATTGAACTGTTATGTATAAGAAATAAGGTTTCGTATAGGCTTAGAAGAATATGGCACAGGCGGAATCTATTTCTGAGGATGTTTATGCTGGACAGAGGTCATTTCGGGGGGGATCGCAGTTCCCCCAGGTGAGGTACGTGGGGCGGGGCACATGATGAAGCCCCGCCCCCCGCTTCCGGCCGCCCCGCTTCTGGCCCTCATTCAGCCAGGAGGAGGCAGGAGAAGAGGGAGGGTAAGTTGCTTCCTCCCTGCCTCTCCCCACCCCTGCCTGCCTAGGGCCAGGGAGGGCCTTTGCAGGGCTTCCTTGCATTCCCGCCGGCCTTGCAGGTCCACCGCCGGGCCCCTGTTGGGGGCGGGGTGTGTGGCCTTATGACACACTTCCGGTGATGTCAGGGGGTGTGGCCTTATGACACACTTCCGGTGATGTCAGGGTGTGTGGCATATGCTAATGAGTTATGCTAATGAGTTCCCCTAGCTCTTTTTCTACGAAACGACCCCTGATGCTGGATAAAGGTTGTGTGGGAGATGATTTAGGTAGTATCAGTGAATGAAAAGATTTGTATGGAGTGTGATAAACAGGTACAATTCTATAGCCAAATTAGAACCAAGAAAATATTTATCTGTTTATCAAAATGCTTTGTTGCAACAAGAGATTTATTTTTTGTGTTTGTATGTTTGGTCAAAAAACAATAAAAAACTATATATTAAAAAAGGATTGCTCTGGCAACAGCCTTTGCGGTGGATGCCGCTCTGGATGCCCTCCAGTTAACAGCTAGAGCCATGGGCAGTAGTGTGACAGCTAGACATAACACATGGCTTAGAAACTGGGATGCTGACCCAGCAGCCAGAGGTAAAGTGGCGGCAGTATTGTTTAAGGGTGTCAATTTGTTTGGGGCAGGTCTAGAAAGATATCTCATAGAAGACAAGAAAAAAATCTACCATCAAAAAAGAAAGATGGGAAACCTACGAGACTTTTCAGCCTTTTAGGGACTTCAAACGAGATGACAGACAGAATCACAGCAGAGCATTCAATGGGAGATGGCAGAACAGATCTAGAGATCTAGACCACAGCCTTTTTCAGGGAAATCATGTCAGGGATGAAAAGGTTCCAAAAAGGAATCTGCGGCATGACTATGCCACCATCTCGGAAACACTCAGTGTGGGGGGCTGTCTGCTAAGGGTTTTTCACTTGTGGCATCGGACAGTCACGGTTCAACTTCTTACAGTTATTGGGACAGTAGGGAAGATGTCAGAAATGTTGAGATAGAAAGGAGTATATTCTGTCTCCTCCACGATAGCCTAAACACAGGGGGAGGTCAAAGTAACACTAGTTTACAAGTGACTGACCGAGAGTATTCTGGACTCAGCACAGAGGTTGCGTCATTTGGCTGTACTGTTCCTCTTATCAATGGACAGGGATCTCCTGTCTTAGCAGAGGGGGCAGCAGTTCTTACAGGTGTTGATCAAGGTACTGGGGGTGAACCCTCCATATCTAGTGACATTAACATGCTCTCTGGGACGGCTGGTCTCATGTTGAAGGGTAATGTCCTGGACCAGG